AAACCCAAAAATGACAAGAATGTTGCACTGAAAATATAAAAATACTAAATAAACACAAACTAAATTCAACAATATAACAACACTTAAAACAGTTTTTACAGAATATTTTCTAGAAAATATTTTTAAAAAACATAAATAAAATTGTATCAAACTTTTTAGTTTTAAAAGATAATTTTATCAGATAAAATGTTTCATGACAATAAGACATTCTTTGAAATTATCATTGTCATTGGTATCATCATAAAGCTATTATTAGAAATAAAAATTTTATAAGCTTGCATTTTTATTTATTTACGAAAATAATTTTAGAAGTATTTAAAAAATAACTTGTATTAAGATTAGTTTAATTTCCATTTAAGATTTTTATCACAACAATAAAAACATTAATTTTTAATAAAATATCTATTTATACTTATATTTATAAAGTGTGTATGAGCATATATGTATATACTTTATTTTTTAATATAATAATACAAGGTACGTTCCATAAGTAATGAGACCAAATTCATAAAAAATCATTTGTTGAACATATTTTTACAATTAGTCAAAAATCTTCGAAATAGTACCCTCCTGCATCGATACACTTGTTGAAGGTGGTGTTTCTGGGCTTGGAAGACATTCTGGAAGGCCTTCTCCAGAATGTCCTTTAGAGCTGATGTAACATAAGCCTTGATGTTTTCAATCGTGTCCCAATGTTTCCTTTTATGCAGGCATATAAAATTATATAATTATTTCCATATGAAAACAGGAATATTTTGGAATACCATATTTAGGCTGCACTTTTTTATCCTAAATTTTTTGTCCAACATTGGAATGTGGTCTATACTTGAGATGATTAAAATTTTTAATTGTTTTAAAAGTATTTAAGCAATTTATTATTATTAATTGTCTTCACATAGTTAGGACTTGTAGCAAGATTATTTAGGTCACCAAGGGTGAGAAAAAGAGAAAAGCATAAAGAAAAAGTAAAAAAGAAGAAAAGAAGGGCACTGTCTGAGGTCCCAACTAAGCAATAATGCTACAGGACTATAAAAATTATAATCAATGTCTTCATTTGAAACTGACAGCTATTTATGTTCTTCACTTGAAACTTCACTGTCATAACAAGCATCTCTTGAGTCTTCATTCTCAGATGATGCAAGAGACACTGGATCATCTGACCTGTCCATCATGTTGGAAATGGATGTAACTTTGAAACTTTTGGTCACATTTCTTCTGGTATTAGTTTCCATAAAGGTATTAGTTCCACAATCCATTTGCACATCGTGGACAGGAACAGTTTTCTTAGCCTCCTGGTCAGCAGTGGACCTCCAATCATGGTAGAAATGTCACAGGTGAGCTTTAAAAGGACAGTTGATGGCTACATCAAGTGGTTGCAGCATTCCAGTCATCCCTCCTGGTATCACAACCATGTCACTTCTCTTTTCCATTATCTACTTTTTCACATTTTTGATCAGATGACCTCAGAAGCTGTCAACAACCAAAATAGACTGCTGATGTAACAGTGCACCTGGATGCCAAAAACCACACTGACTTCAGCCAATCCACATAGAGTTCTTCTGTCATCCAGCGTTGATCTTGAACTTGTACCAATATTCTATGCAGTAGTGTTTCTTTTGGCAGGGTTTTATGCTTAAAAATGATATAAGGTGGCAGCTTGTTTCCATCATCAGTGATGCATTAAAATACAAGCATCACTGCTTTTCTGCTCCTGCTGTTCATACCAGAACTGTTTTTCACCTGCCTGATTGACTGCAGTATCACTTGCATATCAAAGAAGACAGGAGTTTTGTCAGCATTACCTATTGTCCTTAAGTCATAACTGTGTGTCTTTCTTAATCTGAGGACATGTTTCTGAAATATGAGCAGTTTCTCTTTGTATGTGTCAGGGAAGCTGCTGCACCATTGAAGTTTAACGCCAAATCACAAGCTTATGTTGTGCCATAAAACAACTTGCTCAGCCATATCTTCCCTTAAAGTCACTTTCAGGAATTTTCATATTTTGAGCAATCCTTTGGGCTTCAAACTGAATTACATAGGCTGTTTTTTTCAAGCTCTGATGGTCCATAAAACAAAGACAAGTGTAAATAACAAAGACTTGTTATTTACACTTGTCTTTGTTTTATGGACCATTGGAGCTTGAAAAAGAAACTGCCCTCATATTTCAACAGATACACAAAAATCAATTTACCCAAATTTCATGGATATATCTCAACAGATTTGATTCAGACTATTTCACTGTCTTTCTGTGAAACAATTGCCAATTTTGTGATGTTTTCTCAGCAGAATCCTTTGTTTGGATCCATTGTTACACATTTTTTTTTGTCTACATCAAACTTCCTTCCTGCTGCTCGATTTCTATTTTCTTGTGCATAATGAATAACTTACAATTTAAACTTCACTGTGTAACTCACTCTCACTCAACCCATATTTAACATGCACTGAGCAAGCACTCAACAATAACCATTAACCATCACTTCATCCCTGTTTGCACTGTTGCCATATTGTTAAGATATATGAAGGTGCGCAAGAATCCCCGGAAGGACAATGACACAGAAATATGAGAAATTACAAAATTTATTTTCAACCAGACAGCAATTACACAAAACTTGCCCTATATATGCTCAGGCAATAACATAGAAACAAAGGAACCGAATCTCTGCTCGACCTCACACGTGTACAGCGGGGAACAAAGGCCTTATGCACATGGTGTTGCACGACTGAGGCGGGTTCGCGACAATAGAACACTTTTACAATATTAATAACTACGGTTATATTCTAACTTACAAACTAAGGTTAAAACTATGGAAGAATGATAGGATAGCATAGACAATAAGAGGTATATAAATGTTCGACAAAAGGGTACCCGGGATAACAGTATATGATATTTCCCTGTTGGAGAGGGGAATTGTATTCCAGTCCTACGATGTATATAACTCTTGATCGGGATCTTCTCTCTTCTTTCGTTGATAGATACGTCCTGCGTCACCCTTCTCTACGCATGAAAAATTTTCTCTTGTCCATGAACACCGTCCGTTCGCTGGCTCGTCTACTTCCTGACTGGCTCACTTTCTCCCCTGTTTACCTCGGGGCAAACACTCCCTTCCTTGCCTCATTCTCATAACGGTGTCACCCCCCTCCAACGAACAGGAAGTGAAGGATGGAAAGATCGAAAAACGAGAAAACAAAGAACACAAAGAAGAATATTTAATACTAGAGTTACGACTAGCGCGTATACAATAATATGGCGTCTCGCCACAATATTACTGTATATCCATGTCTCTACTCTCATCCCTTGGCAAAATTCTAAGATTTTTATTTTTTCCAAATATATCATTTCATAAACAGGGTGAGGCTTATACATATGTAAATATGGTAAGTATACAAAAAAGAAAAACTGGCAAGAGCTTTTGCACAACTTTTCCTGGAACTCATAATATACAAAATTAAATTTATCTGTAATGTCATCTTTTATGATTTTATTAAAAAATAATTTTTATATTATTAATTATTATAAAAAGGCAAAAGACTTATTTTTGCAGTAGAAGGGAGTTTTTAATTAAATAAATTATAAATTTGAATTACAAGTAAAACTTTCATCAAGTCTGACCCTATATGACATATGATAAATGAACCCCCTCTCTCTCTCTCCATGTCATGATCTTTACCTAAAAAAATTTAATAACCCCAATGCCCTGTATATTATGGGGATTCAGGCTATTAAAGAAATAAACTTACCAAGTTTCAAAATTTTTGGTTTATCCAGTTCTGAGATATAATGCAAATTAGACAACCATACATACATGATTTTGTAAGGTTTTTTTTCCTTACATTTTTGTGCTCCTGGAGTACCAAAATATTGAGAAATGCAAAATACCACGGAGGTCAAAATGTAACCAATTACAATTCTTTCCTTATGTTGCATTCAATAACAGCAACGAAAGTAAAAATTATAGAACAAATTTAATAAGTTTTAACTTGTAATTCTGAAAATAAATACAAATACTAAAAACAAAATATCATCATAAAATAATTAATATAATATATGTTACTACTGAATGTTTTTTATAATGAAATTTGCATGCAATGAAATTTGAAATATGCATAGATCTACTTTTGATTTTATACATTTTTCTGGTTTAAAATTCAATGTGACATTTATCTTTAAAACTATGTAATGATTTAAAAATTATGATTACAAGATATATAAATAACATTTTTGCAGAAAATGTCATTTATAAATATTTTGATAATTTGGGTTTCTTGTCTATATACATCATTGTTTTTGCAAACTTTTCCACTAATACTAATATAGTTATAAATTTCCATGTATTTTTTCTATTCCTTAAATTTTTAGAATTCTAAAACCATTTTTAAAAGGCTTATTAATAATTTTGAGTCTTTTCATTCTAAACATTTAATACAGAATAACATAATAATGTAATACTATTCTAAATTAAATTTAAAAAATAATAAAATATCACAATAAATAATGCTGCAATAAAATAGAAAATTATATTAATTTAAAAGAAAAGTTTTAAAATTTGAATGTATAACTAATGGCCTTTTCATTAAATATATGTAAATATTCATATTAAAATGAATTATTCAATATATTACCTTTGCTGACCTTAAAGTCCTCCTCTGTTTAGTATTTAAAATTTCTACAAAGTCATATCTTGTATGTGATGGAATTCCATTACGACGTCCGTATATACCAATACTGGCACCCTCTGGTACCGAATAATTAAATTTAACCAAAGAGGGACTATTTTGAAGAAACTGAATATTCCAATGACCAAATGATGAAATTTTTTGAGTGTATTTTTTTCCAATTTGAACTTCTGAAAATGATTCACCAACGGGAGGCATTGTTTGTGAAGGCAAAGAAGAAGGACCTAAAATATTAACAAATNTACATTTCCATCAAACTTATATTACTGAATAAAAATTTTATATAATTTATAATTAAATTTATAAAAGTCTTATACTCTACTTACTATTGGAACAGGATTCTCCAGCATAATCAGCATCACATACACAGCTACCTACAACACATACTCCATGACCATGGCAATCATAAGGACAAGGTAAACTGGATTCATCTAGAATAAAAATATATCAGTTATACACAGAAAATAAATATTAATATTTACTCTTAATTAAACAAAATAATGATTAAATAGAAATAAACAGTAATATATTTTTTGAAGCATTTATTTCAAAACAAATTAATAATTCAGTACAATCTTGGTAGTTTGACACATTCAGTAATCTGACATTAGTGGACTTTTTGGTAATACCATCACTGTTGTCAAGTCATACATGTTTCCACAAGTTCAAACTCTAGTTCCCATTAAATTTGAACACATTCCCACTAAACATGGCATGATATTTAACATTGTTAGGCTTTAATTGTAGAATTTTGTTGGATGGCAATTTTATGAAAATTAATTTAAAGACAGTCTGTCCAAAATTGGTAACCACCATTTATTCACTTCTTGTGTTCCAGAATACAAACATTTGCCAGAATACCAGTGCATTTTCCTCAGTAGATATAAAGCTCAAAAATCCCAGAGTGGTAAGGATGGAAAGAAAAACAAAGATGTCTGTAAGATCCACCAGTTCCAATTTTAACTTTGTAATTTTAATTGGATATTTTCTGTTTTTTTAAAGGAATGTTTTTAGTTTTTAAACTTGATGGCCAAGCAGCCTAAAAAGAAAGGTCAGGACATCAAATGTTTGTATTCTGGAACACAAGAACTGAATAAATGGTGGTTATCAATTTCTGACAGACTATGTCTTCAAATTAATTTTCATTGTTAGGCTTGTCATCTTATGGCATTCAAAAAATGAATAGTATCTTACAGCAAAATATTGTATAAACATTAAAAATCAGTCCCACAAAATACTCCCACTAAACTCCCCACAGTCACTTTAATTTCCCACTAAATTTACGGAAATCTGTCATCTCGGCAATATTGATTATTAGCAACTGCAGTGCACTTGGATGTTTTGATCAGAAGTCCAACTTGTGTTTTGTTGCATCTTTAACAGTTGACTCTATGCTGTCAAATTTGTTCATGTGCCATTAAATGCTTCTTACTTTTAATAATCAAGCAATCTCCTTAATCCAATACTGTTCCAATTCCATATACAGGTACTCATTAACTTATGACTTCTGCGACTTACAATTGATTGAAATTATGACAACAGTGAATGCTGACTGGTATGTCTAGCAACAACTTGATTTGGCAAGCTATGTGCAGCTGACTATATGATAATTTGTGATGATGAATGATAATATGTTCTGTATAAAATTTTATTTTGGTTCTTGCAAAGAGATGACAACAGCATACATACCAACTGTTCACTTTTTGGACAAACAGTTTGTCTTTCCCTCCTCTGTTTGCCCTGTAGCCCACCTTCCAGAAATGTTTGCCCTTTATTACTTTTGAGTGTTTTTAATAATTTCTATGACCATAACTTCTTTTAGTATTCCTCAATTTTAAACATGAACTACTTCATGTCATATTTAAAACTACACCATTAACTAATAATGTGTTAAACATTTAACATGTTATTGTTATTGCTACGAATTTTTAAATAAAAAAACAACACATTATTTTTAATGCCAGTATATGTGAAATATTTTAAATTCATATAACAATATAAAAAACTTCATAAAGTTCTCAAAATGATTCTGCAGCATTGTCATTTTACATTGAATGGTTTGTTTCATCAGCATGTGTGTGTTCTTCAATAAAATCATTCACTTTTTTTTATATCAAACTATAAAAATTAGTGAAAACTTTAAATATGAAATAAAATTAAATATTAATTCCACTACTAAACACCAGTAGTTGATCACGGGCCTGTGTCTGATCAATGAGGCTGTCTGTATGAAGTTTTCCAGATTTTCTTCACATCTCTAAAATCTAAATTGAGACTAGTTTCTCTAGAAAGTCCTCCCAGGAAGCAGTCAGTGTGGCAGATCACAAAATGTTATGTTTCCTTATTCTAGCAATCTAATCTAAAAAAATTAAGTGAACTCAAATAGAAACCAAAAAGAACCAGAAAAACCACTTATATTAGCCACTGACCCAGTCACAAAGATTCCATCCAAATAATAGTCTGTCCCAGTTTCTGTCTGCAATAATTTCCCAAATAAGAACTTATATTTTGCATGCAATATTTTGTGTATGCAGTATTCACATTGGCACAACTAGCAACTTATAAATAGCATCTCACTATTATATAATTTATTTATTACTTTGTATATTCTTATACACATCAATTCCTAAAAAAATTTTTTTCTACTAAATTATTTCTATTATCTTTAAATTTTGAGGTTCTTTTGCAATGGTTCATATATATTTTTGATATGTAGAATTCTGTTGACATTGTTATTTTCCAATGTTTATAAAGTTTGAATGCATTTATTCTTGATAAAATCAGTCAAGCAGTCAAGACATAAAACATTCACAAAACATTATCTTATTTTCTTTTTAAAGGCTTCAGATATAATGTAAACAGAGTTTCTGCAATTAATGTCCTTATCAATAAATCATTAATTAAAATCAAAATTCACTGAATCATTATCAATGAATTTTTGTACTACTGCTTTTTACCTATCAAATAAGCAAGCAAAGACTAGGAACTACTTTATTTAAAGTAGTTATAAACAAAATAATTTCAGTAATTACAATAATTTTTTAGCTTGCTTGTTTTAGTCATTGAGTTAGTCTGACAGTTAAAAGTATGAATTTAAATATTAAAATCATTATCTATAAGTTTTACTTTATATCTTCCTCATTTATTTTTTAAAAATTTCAAAATATAATTTGGAATTAATAAGTTTTTGTTTTCCTAATATACTATTTAAAATAACTGTAATTCCTATAAATAAATTACATTATTCTGATAGTTTCCATACTATTTATAAAATTCTGTTAAAACATTTTATATTGATTTTGTAATGTGTTTCTCTTAATTCATATGATTTGTATACCATTAGTAATTGATTTTTATAAGAATATTCTATAAATACCAAATTGCTATTTTCACAGTTTCAATTTCATAGATAAACTTTACATTTAAGTAAGTATAGTATATTTTTATATTTAAAAAAAAATTTTTTTAAATTATATTGTTAAAGATAATAGTTTTTCATCTGTTTTGAAAAACTTTAATTGAATATATTTATCTTCTTTTGTTTATGAAATAATTCAAGCCATCTTTAAAATTTAAAATATCATAGTAGTACCTGTGACAATTGGAACAAAATCAATTTCTTGAGGATTATCTCCATCATTATATACAGAAATATACCATAAACCTCTGTCTAAAAACTGCACAAATTCCATGCTGAAGTACGTATCCTAAAAAAAAAATTAAAAATGAATGTGTAAATAATATCTAATACATTATACATGAAAATAAGATGTTATTATTAGATATAGATTTAAGAAGTATTTTCTATGCTTCTACTGTATCAATGATGATCAATTAGCATATTATAAAATTTTTAATTAATAAAATGGAAAATTTAAATTAATAGGGTTTCATACTTTGCAGGTAAAAATAAATTTAATACATTCAATATGTATTAATAAAAAAAAACTAATAAAATAAGGAAAATTCATAGAACTCAATAATACATTAATATAAGAAAATTTAGTTCATGATAATATATAAAAAATTCAATAACAAAAAGTTGCTATGATTGAATAAATCCTTTTGCATAATATTCAAGAAAGCATTTTCAGATATTACATTCAAACAAAAAGGAATGTTTATTAAAATATAATTTATTAACTTCTAATAAAATTTATCATATATTGTAAATGTTTAACATATAAATGAACTTGTGGCATTTCATATATATAATATGTATCCTTATATCTATAATTATTTTGAATTTTTTCATTGCCAAGTTTTACATACTTTCTAAATTTTATTTTATCATATATTTAATAGATATGATAAGTATTTTTGTATACTTTATCCTTATAAAAGTAATATAACCAGTGGTTGTTCATGATAAACACTGTAGAACTGCAGCACCCCTAAAGCAAAATAAAATCAAAATAATATCTCTATTTTTATTACACAGTAATTATATAAATTATTATACATGTTTAAAATTAATTTTTTCATCAAAACCAATACTATTCAAAACAGTATATGAAATAAAAATGATTCTATTAAGACAGTTTGTATCATATGCCTTCCTGCAACAATATTGTTAGACAGTACAATGCCATCTCCTAAGACTAATTTCCACTTGTTTGGTCACTGTTTCTCATGAATCATAATATGAAATGCTTCAGACAGCAGTGCTGTTGCAAACAGTGTGACCACTTCACAGGAATTGCTTAGTGATAAGTAAGCTAAAGCAGGTAGTCTGTGCCCTCTAAATGTTAATATGAAAAAGACAAAAATTTTGAATCTTAAATTAATTTAATTTAATTATACATTAATTATTATATTCAATTAAAAAACTATATTTTATTATAAATATATAGTTTGTTATGTAAAGTAGTAGTAGTTACTCAGCATCCCACACTAGACAGAGATGAACTACTGTTAAATATGACATAAAACATCAATAAATGTACTTGCTAAATGCAATATTAAAATGTTGAGTAAAAATTCTTAACCTAGAAAAACATTTAAATTTATTAATTTTTATTTTATTTGCATCTTGTATTCATTGTAAATTTTTCCAAGTATATTAAAAAACACCATGTATATTCATCTACTATAATCAGTTCATATTAACAACTTTAAAATTAATATGTTTTTAATATTTGTACAATAATATAAAATTACCTTTATTATTTTGGATATTTTGCTTTCAAGTCAATAATTTAAAATAATTTTTCTAACTTTATTGAGATTTAATTTAACATTTTTTTAATACAAAACCCAAAAATGACAAGAATGTTGCACTGAAAATATAAAAATACTAAATAAACACAAACTAAATTCAACAATATAACAACACTTAAAACAGTTTTTACAGAATATTTTCTAGAAAATATTTTTAAAAAACATAAATAAAATTGTATCAAACTTTTTAGTTTTAAAAGATAATTTTATCAGATAAAATGTTTCATGACAATAAGACATTCTTTGAAATTATCATTGTCATTGGTATCATCATAAAGCTATTATTAGAAATAAAAATTTTATAAGCTTGCATTTTTATTTATTTACGAAAATAATTTTAGAAGTATTTAAAAAATAACTTGTATTAAGATTAGTTTAATTTCCATTNTCCATGAACACCGTCCGTTCGCTGGCTCGTCTACTTCCTGACTGGCTCACTTTCTCCCCTGTTTACCTCGGGGCAAACACTCCCTTCCTTGCCTCATTCTCATAACGGTGTCACCCCCCTCCAACGAACAGGAAGTGAAGGATGGAAAGATCGAAAAACGAGAAAACAAAGAACACAAAGAAGAATATTTAATACTAGAGTTACGACTAGCGCGTATACAATAATATGGCGTCTCGACACAATATTACTGTATATCCATGTCTCTACTCTCATCCCTTGGCAAAATTCTAAGATTTTTATTTTTTCCAAATATATCATTTCATAAACAGGGTGAGGCTTATACATATGTAAATATGGTAAGTATACAAAAAAGAAAAACTGGCAAGAGCTTTTGCACAACTTTTCCTGGAACTCATAATATACAAAATTAAATTTATCTGTAATGTCATCTTTTATGATTTTATTAAAAAATAATTTTTATATTATTAATTATTATAAAAAGGCAAAAGACTTATTTTTGCAGTAGAAGGGAGTTTTTAATTAAATAAATTATAAATTTGAATTACAAGTAAAACTTTCATCAAGTCTGACCCTATATGACATATGATAAATGAACCCCCTCTCTCTCTCTCCATGTCATGATCTTTACCTAAAAAAATTTAATAACCCCAATGCCCTGTATATTATGGGGATTCAGGCTATTAAAGAAATAAACTTACCAAGTTTCAAAATTTTTGGTTTATCCAGTTCTGAGATATAATGCAAATTAGACAACCATACATACATGATTTTGTAAGGTTTTTTTTCCTTACATTTTTGTGCTCCTGGAGTACCAAAATATTGAGAAATGCAAAATACCACGGAGGTCAAAATGTAACCAATTACAATTCTTTCCTTATGTTGCATTCAATAACAGCAACGAAAGTAAAAATTATAGAACAAATTTAATAAGTTTTAACTTGTAATTCTGAAAATAAATACAAATACTAAAAACAAAATATCATCATAAAATAATTAATATAATATATGTTACTACTGAATGTTTTTTATAATGAAATTTGCATGCAATGAAATTTGAAATATGCATAGATCTACTTTTGATTTTATACATTTTTCTGGTTTAAAATTCAATGTGACATTTATCTTTAAAACTATGTAATGATTTAAAAATTATGATTACAAGATATATAAATAACATTTTTGCAGAAAATGTCATTTATAAATATTTTGATAATTTGGGTTTCTTGTCTATATACATCATTGTTTTTGCAAACTTTTCCACTAATACTAATATAGTTATAAATTTCCATGTATTTTTTCTATTCCTTAAATTTTTAGAATTCTAAAACCATTTTTAAAAGGCTTATTAATAATTTTGAGTCTTTTCATTCTAAACATTTAATACAGAATAACATAATAATGTAATACTATTCTAAATTAAATTTAAAAAATAATAAAATATCACAATAAATAATGCTGCAATAAAATAGAAAATTATATTAATTTAAAAGAAAAGTTTTAAAATTTGAATGTATAACTAATGGCCTTTTCATTAAATATATGTAAATATTCATATTAAAATGAATTATTCAATATATTACCTTTGCTGACCTTAAAGTCCTCCTCTGTTTAGTATTTAAAATTTCTACAAAGTCATATCTTGTATGTGATGGAATTCCATTACGACGTCCGTATATACCAATACTGGCACCCTCTGGTACCGAATAATTAAATTTAACCAAAGAGGGACTATTTTGAAGAAACTGAATATTCCAATGACCAAATGATGAAATTTTTTGAGTGTATTTTTTTCCAATTTGAACTTCTGAAAATGATTCACCAACGGGAGGCATTGTTTGTGAAGGCAAAGAAGAAGGACCTAAAATATTAACAAATTTTAACTTTTAATTTAAATGTGTTTATATTATTAGCAATTTAATTAATGTTTTAATTATGATAAAAACTGTAGTATTTGTCAATGAATATTCATAGAATTATGATATCAAATTATATCATATCACCTAGGATATCTAAAGCTATTCTCTTTTTGAGAAATTTGAAATAAGTTTAATTCTTTGAAATAATCATTCTCATTATTGTGCATCTTGATAATGAGAAAGTATTTACAACATTATAATGTTATTAATAAAAAAATTATAATTCACTTACCATCAATTCTTTTATTATGGTAATTTTTAAATTTCTCAAATATTTATGTAGAAACACAAGAAAATTTCTAATAATGTTTAATAATAAGTTCTTTTAATCATATTAAAATTCAAAATTATAAAAAAAATTAAGAGACATTTTAATTATAAACCTAATTATAATCTCAATACCAAAATAAAATGCTTTTAATAAATTTTTCTTTTAATTAATGCTTGGCTGTGAATACATAGCCTAAAAGTGCTTAAAGTTATTAAAAATTTTCGTTCTGAAAAAAATTGAATTCGTTTTTAATATTGTTAAATGATTCATTAAATATATGGTTTTGAATTTTGATTAAGCTTTTTTTCATGAAAATAATATTGTTTATTATCTCTACTTGTAATTTAATAATTATTACTATGATTATTACAACAGAATCAGTCTTAAATTACATAAATTCATATATTTATTAATAAACATGGGCAAATAATTTAAAAGCTCATATAAAAAAGTTCACAAGTTTAAATTAAAAAATTTAGAAAAAAACTAAAATTCTTGAATGACTCAGAATGATTTCTAATTTAATAAATTTATTGAGTTTTTAATGATGTTGATCTCCAAAAAATGTTTACATAAAAGTTCAAAAGACTTCTAAAAGAATGTTTTTATGCTTTTAACAAAAACCCAAGATTTAAACAAAATTTTTAAAAAATTTATCTCTAAATACATACATAGTTAAATTAATTCCCAAGAAATTTTTAAAATAATTTTTTTAAAAGACTGTCTTGTGACATTACGTTATTAAAATATAAAAAAAATAAATGTAAAATATTCAAGCATTTAATCTCCATACTTACTTAAAAAGAATAACTTAAAAGAGAAATTAAGGTATTCTATTCTATTTACTTTATTTCATTTCTTCTCTTGAAAACATATTTAAATGTATTGAAAGTAGTTGAGAGATTAAAAGCTTGAGTATTTTACATTTATCTTTCTATATTTTAATAATTTAACACCACAATGTAGTTTTAAAAGAACAGTGGTTATTTTTATTTTGAATGAGTTTTGTTATTTTATTTTTCATTAATCCCTAATGTATCTTCATCTTCAAAGATAGTTTACATAACCATAATGTTTAGATATAGTAATTAAAAAAAAAATGTTTGTAGTTAAATTCTTTTAATTTATTTTTGAAAAACAATAATATATTTCTTTTACATGAAAATTTATATTAATTCATATTAAAATAAAATTCACAAAAAGATAAATTTCAATAATTTTCAAATCCATCATTTATCTTTATCATTCAAAACAAATATTATGTTCTTTTTTATGTTAAAAATTATTTTTGATTAAAGTATATTCTTTTTCATATTACAGCAATTAAAATATTCTTAAACCAATGTTTTTAATTATTTAAATTACAAACATATTAAATAATTAGTTTTTCTTTTTTAAATTTTTAGATAATTAAATTTAAATAACAATATAATCCTTTCATAAAATAATTTATGTAAGGTTTATTTTTTATTTTAAGTTTCCAAAATTTAAGATAAGAGTCATTTTATGGATTGGATGTGACTCTTATCTTAGATTTAAGTGTTATTTAAAAATGAAGTCCGAGTTATTTCAATTTTAGATATACAGATAAAATCTTTATTTAAATTTTTTCATTTTTTACTTTCAGATTAATACTAACTCAATTAAAATTAATAGACTTCCTATTATAAAATTGAAGTTAAAAAGAATAAAATCAAAGCTATATTTATTAATGTAAATATGAAATTGAAAATCAGCAGAAATACAGAAAGAAAGTTTAATTACATGCCTAATTTTATAAATATTTATTAATAGTTATAGTTTATCAGTTGGCAATTTATAGTTTAACTATTGTTTATTAATAAATATATAGATTATAATTTAACAATTGGTGTTGTTAAGTTATAAATAGAACTGTTAATAAAACTAATTTTTCTTCAATGTATTAAATGTATATATTTTTAAATAAACAAAATGCTTTACATATAATTTTCTGTTATTTAAAAATAGAATATTCATTAACTCATATTGCAATTTTTCATTATTTCAGTATCACTAAACATATTTAAAAACTAGTGATTTAAATTTTACATTCACAACTGCCTTTTCAAACTGTTAAAATGTCAGAAATGTAAATATTATAAGTAATCACAATAATAATGCTATATATCTAAAATTAAACAAAATATATATATAATAAATATCTATATATTTTATCTAATCTGAAGGAAAAAAACATGTTTTTATTTTAATTCTTATGATTTGGTTTCAATCTCTTGCATAATATTTTATTTTTTTAAAAATATTTATTATTTCATTTCCATCATTTTCAATTTTAATCTATCCTGCAGCTCATAGCTCAATATAATTTTCTAATGATGATTACTTTTAAAAACTTCAATTAATTGTATCCTGTTATAAAATTCATGTCTTTAAATCTGTTGATCTGAAATACAGTGGGTGATTGGTTAACGAACAAATCGGATAACAAACACATTCACAAAAGATTTTTATGATCAGACAACAAACACATGTTCGGATAACGAACACTTCACTGAACAAACACAAGAAGAAGCACCGTAAAATAACGAATACCGATTGTCTTCAGGCAACAATTCAAAACTTTTCAGAGTGCAGGAGATGTCAACATCCACGTTCTACCCAGTATATACTGATCAGATAGTATTCCCCTGAACTTTGAAACTCTCCCTTGTAATTCCAGCCTTCTATATTTCTGACAGAAACAATTCTTTTATGTTTTCTTCTGAAAATGCAGATTTATGCTGATAGCTGCTATTAAAGATCTTTTGAAAAAGTGGGAGGATGTCAGAACAACAGTCTTAAAATGGCATTCAAACCAGGTTGAGGTTAATAAGCCTAGGGATCTCTACAATTACGATGCTATTAATTATTTCTGAAAAATCATGAAGAAGACAGAAAAACAATTGACATTGGACAGATTCTTTAACCCCTACAAATGGAAAAAACATGACTAATAAAAATGCAAGACCATGTATACAATGGTACCTCAGGATATGAAATTAATCTGTTCCAAAACTGAGATCGTATCATGAAAATGTCGTAAGGTGAATCATTTTTCCCCATACAATTACACATAAAACCAAATAATTCATTCCAACACGAAAAACACACTCAAATTAAAGCTAAGTAGTACATTAAAAAAAATAACTATAGTAAGGAAAACACTGAAAAATGCGTTTTTGTAGTTGTAAATGTATAAATAACTATAATAGAATAATAATTGATAAAAATAATGTAGTTTTATTTTCACTTTACCTTTGAGGATAGACGACGGTGGAGGTGTAAACTGGTGGCAGAAGAGAGGGAGAAGGGAAATGATACAAAAACTTAACTTACATAGCATAATGTAACAACAGCTTAAAAATAACTCAGAAAAGATTAAAAAAAATATTGTTGTTATATATATTTTAAATTTTTATTCACTGCTTTTTGCTTTCTTTCCTTCACATCCACTGGATACAGGTTGCTTGGTAAAATATCTATCCAAAGAGGTTTGGCTTTGCCTACTATTTAAAATGTTTCTAAAATTACTTAGGCAAATGTCATTACTTTGAGCAGCAATACAGCTAGTGTGAACCTTTTGGGATGTCTCTTTTCAATAAAATCAGTCACTTTCTGATAATACCTCAAGATTTCTTTTATCGAGCGAGATCCTTCCACGACGAAGCAAACATGCGGACTGAGACCAACGAACAGAAGTGAATAAAAAATGGTGCTGCAAACTAATGTAATGTCATATGGTGAGTTTTTGTTCATATCGTGGAGCAAAAATATGTTCGAATTTCATGTCGTATCCTGAAAATTTCGTATGTTGGGGCGTTCGTATCCTGAGGTACCACTGTATATGTATTTTTATTATTACATACGAATAAACGTAGTAAGAAAGTATATATTTTTTATTTTTTTGCAGTCTCCAGAACGAATTAATCAAATTCCCATAGAAACCTATGGTAAATCGATAATCGGTTAACAAACTATTCGAATAGCGAACNAACATGTTTTTATTTTAATTCTTATGATTTGGTTTCAATCTCTTGCATAATATTTTATTTTTTTAAAAATATTTATTATTTCATTTCCATCATTTTCAATTTTAATCTATCCTGCAGCTCATAGCTCAATATAATTTTCTAATGATGATTACTTTTAAAAACTTCAATTAATTGTATCCTGTTATAAAATTCATGTCTTTAAATCTGTTGATCTGAAATACAGTGGGTGATTGGTTAACGAACAAATCGGATAACAAACACATTCACAAAAGATTTTTATGATCAGACAACAAACACATGTTCGGATAACGAACACTTCACTGAACAAACACAAGAAGAAGCACCGTAAAATAACGAATACCGATTGTCTTCAGGCAACAATTCAAAACTTTTCAGAGTGCAGGAGATGTCAACATCCACGTTCTACCCAGTATATACTGATCAGATAGTATTCCCCTGAACTTTGAAACTCTCCCTTGTAATTCCAGCCTTCTATATTTCTGACAGAAACAATTCTTTTATGTTTTCTTCTGAAAATGCAGATTTATGCTGATAGCTGCTATTAAAGATCTTTTGAAAAAGTGGGAGGATGTCAGAACAACAGTCTTAAAATGGCATTCAAACCAGGTTGAGGTTAATAAGCCTAGGGATCTCTACAATTACGATGCTATTAATTATTTCTGAAAAATCATGAAGAAGACAGAAAAACAATTGACATTGGACAGATTCTTTAACCCCTACAAATGGAAAAAACATGACTAATAAAAATGCAAGACCATGTATACAATGGTACCTCAGGATATGAAATTAATCCGTTCCAAAACTGAGATCGTATCATGAAAATGTCGTAAGGTGAATCATTTTTCCCCATACGATTACATGTAAAACCAAATAATTCATTCCAACACGAAAAACACACTCAAATTAAAGCTAAGTAGTACATTAAAAAAAATAACTATAGTAAGGAAAACACTGAAAAATGCGTTTTTGTAGTTGTAAATGTATAAATAACTATAATAGAATAATAATTGATAAAAATAATGTAGTTTTATTTTCACTTTACCTTTGAGGATAGACGACGGTGGAGGTGTAAACTGGTGGCAGAAGAGAGGGAGAAGGGAAATGATACAAAAACTTAACTTACATAGCATAATGTAACAACAGCTTAAAAATAACTCAGAAAAGATTAAAAAAAATAGTGTTGTTATATATATATATATTTTAAATTTTTATTCACTGCTTTTTGCTTTCTTTCCTTCACTTCCACTGGATACAGGTTGCTTGGTAAAATATCTATCCAAAGAGGTTTGGCTTTGCCTACTATTTAAAATGTTTCTAAAATTACTTAGGCAAATGTCATTACTTTGAGCAGCAATACAGCTAGTGTGAACCTTTTGGGATGTCTCTTTTCAATAAAATCAGTCACTTTCTGATAATACCTCAAGATTTCTTTTATCGAGCGAGATCCTTCCACGACGAAGCAAACATGCGGACTGAGACCAACGAACAGAAGTGAATAAAAAATGGTGCTGCAAACTAATGTAATGTCATATGGTGAGTTTTTGTTCATATCGTGGAGCAAAAATATGTTCGAATTTCATGTCGTATCCTGAAAATTTCGTATGTTGGGGCGTTCGTATCCTGAGGTACCACTGTATATGTATTTTTATTATTACATACGAATAAACGTAGTAAGAAAGTATATATTTTTTATTTTTTTGCAGTCTCCAGAACGAATTAATCAAATTCCCATAGAAACCTATGGTAAATCGATAATCGGTTAACAAACTATTCGAATAGCGAACAAAGTCTTGGAACGGATTATATTCGTTAACCGATCACCCACTGTATTGTAATCACATATAATTTGTTTCAGACTGGTATTATATAATAGATAAACTTATATTTTAATGAGTATAAAACATTTATTCAATGCATAAAAATACAAATTCTCCAAGTTATTGAGATATAAAAGAAATTGGACCACTAATTGAACTTAATGAGATAAAAACAACAAGCAACACCACTTACTAAAAATAAACAAAAATATAAAAATTGTTTATTGGTGTTACTGGCAAATACATTTAATTACAAACACTTTTGACAGTATATAACTGTCTTCCTCAGGTAATATGGCAGGTGGAACATACATACAAATATATACTGTTGAAAATTGCTTGTACTTGTTGCTTAAACATATTTTCCAGTAACACCAATTGACAGTTTTTATATTTTCATTTACTACTTGAACTTAAATTTTAATTCAATTTTTAAATCCCTCTGTGAAATATTTCATTAACACCTATTAACTGTTTATTATATTTAGTTAATAAAAACGAATAAATTTGGAAATTTTATGTTTATTCATTCTCTCTAATGAGAAAAATTTAAGTTACAGAATAATAATGACCTGAGCACCAGTACTTGCATATTGTATTGTAAAATTTATAGAACTACTTAACAGTTTCAAGAACAAAAATTAAATAAATAAATAAAATGCAATTAAAACTTGACTGAATTACAGATGTAACTAATTCAGATTTCAATGTAGGTTTATGAGTGTCTGGATTTTCTGAAAAATGAATATTTATTAATATTTAAATAAATTATTCTATCGTATATTAATATTATCAATTAATTTTATAAAATTTCAATTTTATATACTGTATATCTAATTAAAAACAAGTAAGATTATTGAAGTTCTTCAATAATTCTAATAAAATTATTGATATAGAAAGATTTTATTTGTTACAATTTTTAAAAGAAGATCAATCAAAATATTTTAAATAAATTTATATTTTAATATTAAACCCTTTAACTTCAATTTTAGTATACAAATAATTATTTTTGATTATAAACCAGAATATTTTTAGTAGTATTAGTATAGTTAATATTTGTTTAGAAAATGAAAAATGAAAAAAAAAAAACTATTTTGATTATTTATTATTATATGAAAATTATAAGTTTAGTAAAATAATTACTTATTAGCTCACCTGTTAGAAGATTAATGACCATATCAACATCTACTAGTTTTGACTAGGATACCAAAATCATGCAAAAGATTGATATGAAATGTTAGCCATGCAAGTATTGTGTTAGCATTGTTGACAAATGCAACATTAATCCAACATGCAAGTTTACTTACTGTGATCAGTAGATATTTCGGTAGTTTCTTCTGTTGTAACTAGGTTATCAGTAGATTCATTTATTGATGATGCAGTAGTACTAATATCACAAGTACAACATTCTTCATAAGAAGGAACATCAGTTGATGATTCATTAGACAGATCCAATACTGCAGTTGATTCATAAACTTTACTAACTAAATTTTCATCATTACTTGTTTCATTACTTTCATTAGGAATAACTGTTTGTATAACAGTTGGCATAACAATATTTGTATCAATTTTAGTTATTGATTCTCCTGGTGACTGTGTAAGAGATTCTTCAATATTAGATAATATTGAAGTCTGTAAAATGATTTCCTCTGTAGATTGTGAAACTTCATTTCCTGATAAACTTGAAGAAACACTAAATATTGTCTCTGATCCATATAATTCTGTAATGCTTAAATTTAGTTTTTCTAACCAAATACTAGATGAATTTGTTGATGCATTTAATGAAAAATTATCTATATATGAATTTACAGTAGAATATGTTGAATATTCTTCTGTTTGCGTTGCATTATGTAGCTGAATTGATATTTCCTCATCTTCCACTGTAGTTGCAAATACATTACCATAGCTCACTTCTGTTGGACGGGTAATTAATACTGGTCCTTTACCAATGCCTCCACCTGGTGCCACTTCAGGTTTAGCATATTCAACCATATTGACTTCTACTCGATCATTGCCTACTATTAAATTTGCTGGAGGTATCAAAATAGATATAGGTTGGATAGATTCATGCTCATTAAGCACAGAATAAATTTCATTGTCAGTGGCATTATTATCAGTTTTGGATGGCACAGAAACAGCAGCAGAATCATGCTGCAACCCTCGAACATCACTATCCTGATCATCCATGGATGTGGCATTGGTGGCATTACTTAAAATATCTGTTGTAACATTTTTTCTGTTGAGAACAGTAGTTAATGGATTATTATCACTGACCTGGATTTTTGATATTTCATTTGTTTGTTTTGAAAATGTTTCTTTTGACACCAGCAATAAATCTTCTGCTTCAAGATCTAAAGCAGTCTTCCTTGTTGCTTCCATAGTACCAGTTCTACCAGTTTCTGGGACAACAAGAGAAGCATGCTCACCGCTGCCAGAATCCATGAAATCAGCAGTGGTGTTGATGGGAAGAGAAGGAAAAGTGGTAGTAGTAGTTTGAACAAACTCGGTTGACAAATTAGCATCACCCACCTCACGGATTTTACGAATTATGGATCCATCAGAAACCCCAGTTTTACCTCTTTTCCAAGAATCCTGATACGTACTTTTAACATCTTTACTGTCATCCACTAGACCCATATCTTCAACCATCACTGGACATGGCTGCTTGTTAGCATACTGCCAGTTTAATACAGTAACAGCTGCAATTTACAGATAACAGAATATTTAAAATTAATTATATTATTATAATAATATTGATAGTTTAATCTATAGTTTTTGTAAAATATATTATATATATTTAAAAAAGGCTCTATTATTGATTTCAAAAATAGATATAGTAGAGTCCCTGAAACTCAACTCTTGATAACCGGACATTCCATAAAACTCATTGTGTCATTAAAAAACAAAATACATGTAATCTAATTTTTACATCTATAACTTAACTCTAGGATCAAATAAGTTATCATTCTTCATTGGTGATACTTGATAATATCATCAATTCCACATGTTAACAAAGAATATAACCCTTTTACCAAGGAGCCACTGAAAAATGCCACAATGCCACTAACTTGAAAGTAGCCACTGAATAGCCAATACTTTTTCATTTTTTTAATTAAAATTTAAATAGGAATATTTGCTAATGATATGTAGTTAACATGTATACCGGTATCAATTTGCACATATAATACCTATACAAAAATTTTGCTATTTAGATTAGCATCATCACTATACCACTGTATGTTAAACAAATTCATTAATTTAGCAGAATTCTGCTACAGTTGGCAATACACTCCTTCCAATGAAAAGATAGTCAAATTTGACCTGCATTTTAACACAATCTCATTTCTCTCTCTTTACTGTTAACACAGGAGTCCATGAAACTTGTCATTTTGGTAACTTGTCACCTTCTCAGTCCACATTAAGTCGAGTTTATGGGACTCTATAGTAATTGTTATTTGTTTGTGTGATAATTTTAGTATAAAACTTCTATCATTTAAAATTTTCAAAAGAATATAAGAATGATATAAACTATTATTTGTATCTAGACTATTACCAGAGATACAAATATTAATTTCTCTCAATACTTTGAAGAACTGATATTTTGATAGAGAAATAACTATAGTTGTTCCAATTTTTTTATTATTTTTTACACTCTAAACTTTTTATACAATAAAGATATTATTTAAGGACTGTCCATAAATTATATAATGCTAATTTTATCTTTTCAACTATCGTCACATCCACTGTAATGCTTCATAATATACTCACACATATAAAACCCAAAACTTACATAACACTTCTTCAACTAACCCTCTTAATTGTATGAAGGAATGATACACAGCATGGGGTACTAAATGTTACATTATTTTATTGTTGATAATTACATATATAATGTATAGTACAAAGCAGTGACATAAACAGTATAGTTTTCTATGCAACACTTCAGAAACAAATTGAATCATTCTGTTACTCAAGGGTTGAGATCCTAGTATTACATAGCAATTTTATAAATATCTCCACTCCTTTGTAATATATTGTAATGATTATCTGTTTACCCACCCATCCATATATGCATTACATAATTTATGGATATATAAGATACTAGAAGTTTTATTATCAATCTATATCTTTACAATGTGATTAGGAAACTTTAATAATCATAATTTCCAATATGTATTTTACATATTCTATTGTTACATTAAGAAATCTTAAGTTTGAGTAAACTCCGTAAAACAGACATGAATCAAAATTATAAAATAGATAATTGGCTTCCTCTGTAAATATGTATTAATTTTTCAAACAGTTAATTCACTAATATGATTCTAATTTCTTTAATTATAAGAATTTGAAAGTTAAATTCTCATTCATGGCCTTGTCTTGAAACCAATAAAACTACTTTCTTAAATGTGATTCAATTTTATAATTATGTTTTATAAACATTTTCTTAATGTCTTTTACATCCTCCATATCCAAAAATATTGAAATTATTTATTAATTAAGATAAATATCTATATGCAAGGCTATTTTACAGTCAGAATGTGTTGGTATGACATATGAGTAGATAGCATAAAAATATCAATAGCTGGTATTGTATATAGTACTGGCAGCTGCTCAGCTAAAAAATTCTATATGTTCAGAAGTCTGGTGACTAGCACAATAAAAACAAATGAGACAAACTGGGTTACCCTATTGGGCCATGGTATTTGTCAGAGGCCATCTTTTGATGAATGGACAATACTGTCTGTTCTTGATACATTTGTGTCAAGTAGTGAGATAAGGAAAAACACAAATGATGATACTTTGAAAAAGAAAGATAACTAAAAGGGTGTTATTTAGCAACTGACATTAAATTCAAAATGAGATATATGGAAGAAAATGCAGATGGGGATTTTAAGTATTGACCTTTTAGCAGAGAGGGAACAAAAGAAACGCGGCCTTGTCAATTGGACCCACCTATGGTCGGGTAATATACCACTTGTAAGGTGTTGACTTGTAAACAGAGGGAAAACAAAGGAAGCGTTGACTTTGTCAATTGCACCCACCTGTGGTCAGACGATAGACCATTTGCCATATGGTAAACAACTGAATGTAAACAAGCGGCAGACGTTACTGTAAGCTTGACTCTCGTCAGATAACAGCAAACCTAGGTTAAAGCTGTTCGGGCAAGAAAGGTTTGTGATTGGTCAGAAGTTTCTGTCCAAAAAACCCTTAAATTGCGGAACAAACAAGAGAGGAGGGAGAGAAGGGCAAGAGACTGGTACACGGTATTCTCAGGCACTTGGGACGCCCTCTGAGATGTTTACCAGAGGAGAGAGTGTTCTCCTCTGGTAAACATTTCAAGGACAGGTTAGTGCGGAGACTGGACTGACTGTGCAGTTGAGCCAACTCCATAAGCTGACTGAGGCCTCTCCAATGTTTAATAGTTCCCAGAAACCAATAGAGTATGTGAGTCACCACACTTTGTTATCCTGTATATATATTATGTTTTCGAACTTGTATCTTCTGCATATAGAATCTGTAAATATTATCAATTTGAGTGTGGAGGTGTGCTTTCCATTGAACCTGGATCACTACATTGAATCGTGATACACATGGAAACCAACTCAATGAGACGGAGTTTGGGAAAGAACTTCACTAGATCTTCACTGGAATATACAAAAAATTTGGAAAATACTCTAAATGCTACAATGTATATGGGTACATTTACATTTAATAATCAGTGGTATTAAATACTGTTTCAGTTATTATTACATTTTTTCCTAAAACAAAACTTATTTTTAGTCATCATATGTACTAACAGGAATTTTTTTAGAAAAAGAGGATTTTCTATATATATATTTTACTTACCAATGAAATATGTCAGTGCCGTAAGAAGTGCTATTGTCAGAAATATAAAGGCAATGGCAGTACATTTCCAAGTACATCTGGAGGACAGTGTTTTTCGAAAATGTAAACGCGAATGTATAAAATGGCTGGAAACAGGACGTCGCACATTATTTCGGACGGGGAAATTAGGCACACTAGTAGATGAGGTGTATGACAGTTGACATCTGTCAAGAAAAGTTATATTTCATATTTATATGTAAAATAGAATGAAGATAATATTAATAATTTCATAATATATGAAATTTTTAATACAGGTAACCCCCGTATAACATGGCACTTCTATAGCACGGATTCGCTCTAACACGGTTCGAGAATTGGTACCATCCCCCGTATAACACGGTACTTTTATAGCACGGATTCGCTCTAACACGGTTCGAGAATTGGTACCATCCCCCGTATAACACGGTACTTTTATAACACGGATTCACTCTGACACGGTTAAAGAATTGGGTAAAACCCTCGTACAACATGAAATGTAATAAATTTTTACATACTTAAGTAATAATAGTTCATTAATGTGTTGCCCCTTTACATAATACTTTTCCTGTTAACAACAGAGTTCCAACTGTTCTGGAGAAAATTTTTGAATTAAAATAACATGACATTCGGTTTGCATCATAAGTTCATATAGAGTTAATTGACGCCTTCTACCCCTAAGCTTTCCATATCTGGTCTTGACTTTCATCTATCTAACTCCATTCTTGAGATTAATTAAGGAAGGACAGACAGACAGTTGTCAGTGGAAATTTATAGGTCTGTAATTTGAAAATTGAAGCCCAATAATTGTGTTGTATATGAAAATATTACACTGAAATTTTCCAGGTTAGAACTGAAGTACTATATTTTAGTATGGGATAACCTGCAGTAATATATAATCTGAAAACTTAAAAAATTTCTAGAGCTAAAATAAAAACCTTTGTATAATCCTGAAACACAAAACTGTCTTAAACATTACATTTTTTATCCATTTCATTTCCATTATAGACATAATTATAAAATAAGTAAAACAAAAAAAATGAAAATATTAAATTGAAAAATTTTTTAGTAAAATAAAAAACTTATAATATCCAATATACCAGTTTGATTATTCAGCTCCTATTTTATGTACAGAACTAAAGCCTCATTCCCAATTGAGATAAAATATTTCAAGAATATAAAATGAAAAAATTTTCCAATTTTGTTGAATAGAAAGAATCTCAAAACTTCCATTAAAAATGTTTAACTTTCCTGTTGTTACATGCAGAAACACAAAGTCAATAACTAGTAATAGAAAGTGAAAATAGATTGTGACATCTCTAGATGCAAATACAACAAAATCATACAAAATGTCAAGTACTTACAATTAAATGTAAACATATCACTACTTTAGGAAGCTTTTGGATATTCATTGATGTTTAACATTTGAAACATGCACAAAAGGGAAAGAATTGAATGTGAGATATTATATAAACAGCAAATGATTTACTATTGAATATATTAGTGTCCTCTTTGAATTCTGAAGTCATTCCAACAGCACCAATAGTAGACATTATTCAAATTTCTCTTTTTGCAAAAGAGATTCTACATTTTTGTGAAAGTGGTATTGATGCATAAATAGATTTTCTCTTGTTTTCTGTTGTAATTTTTTCACAAGTGAAAACTAGACTATCAGTTTAAACATAGATTGATGCATAGGAAATAAACAGAAGAATCACGACAAGGCAGATGTATATGTACAGTACCTTTAGTGATTTTAGGAAAAATCTGCAATGGCAGATGTATATGTATCTAGTACACAAAGCATTTTTATGTTTTCTAAAAATATCCTTGGTGACTTTAGACAAAAAAAAAATTATAATATAAATTTTCATCACAAGTACGTATTTTCTAATATCAGGACTTATTATTCTGGCTTTACAGATAATGCTACAGAGTTTCACAGAAAACAATTTTTTGTTTTATTTAATATACCTGTTATTTAATATATCTGTAAAGCCAGTGTAATAAGTTCTGATATTAGAAAATACATACTTGTAGACGAAAATTTATATTATAGTAAGTCAAGGACATTGAGGCATTTTAATTAAAAGAAAAATTGTTTAAGTACTACATAATAAATTGTAAGATGGAAAATCTGGCATGGCAAATCTGGCCCATGGCAAGCCCATTGCATAACCTGCACTTGATTTCAAACTGATTTTTTTTCATCAATCAACTTGGATAACCTGTTTGTTATTCAAGCTGAAATGGTATTTTAGACATATCTATAAAATTCTAACTCAAAATTAGATTCAAATTCAAACCAAATAAGAATTTTTTAGGTTTTTAATACAAAACTTTTCAACAGTATTTGGCATTTAAATAACTGGATTGCAATACTGTTATATTTAATTTCTTATAAGTAGGCCTACCATACTTGCTTAATATATTTCCATTATAATTTTTTGTTTTTAAACTTATTAATCAAAGCAATTATTAAATGTCTATAAAATAAATTATTTATATAAATAATCATGTAAAAATAGATGAACTTAATTCATTCAACTTCAAATCCCCTGCAGTCAGTTTTCCAATTATTTACTACCTTTTGCCATCTATATTTTATTTCTTTAGTCTCCATAAATTTTGAATTTTGATTAAAAAAATAAAGCAAGCCTTAATCTGGAGTCATATATTATCAAAAACTTTCATAATATAAAAATAGCAATTCCTTCTAAATATTTATATCAAATCCATCAATTTTCTTAATATCTTTATATATTGTTTTTATTTCATGAAACATGTTTCATGAACCCCCCCTTTTTTTTTTTGTTATGAAATGCAGCACATTGGTAACGATCTTTGTGGACTGTAATATTTTTTTACTTAATATATGAAAACATTTACATTTATTTTCATATATAATAAGTTCATTTCAATACAAAATGAATATATATTTTATATAAACTTTTCTGTCTTTGTTTTTATATCTCATTTCTAACAAATGGATCTGCTAAATACTAATCATGTATTTCTATCAAGCCATCTATTTAATGTGTTTTAGTTATCTTAATTATGTATTCTATCATCTTTTCAGTTTAAAAAACATAATACTATGCAAAACTTTTTAAATTAAATTATTCTCATACAATGAGCTATACCATTAAATTCTTCACAGTACATCGTTATGTTTAGTCTTTGTAGAAGAAAATAGATGAAGCCACATCAAATGGCACTCTTTCTTTCATAGTTCTTACATATACTTTTCTCATATATTCAATTCTTTTTTTTTATTAATTTTATATATTTTATTATTTTATGTTTATGAAAACAATTTTATATCATTAAGATTGAATATTTTAATTTTAACTTTCTCTATTTTCATCTGCTCTAATTCAGTGAGGAATAGTTTGATAAGAATAGATTGACGGCTTTAAGTTACTCTTCTGATAATCTGTTTATTTTTAAAAGACAAGAAAAAAGGAATAAATTTAGCTTACTTCAACTTCTTATAAATCCATTTAAAAATAACAAAGTACCTAACTTGAGAAGTTAAAATTTGTTGTGGATTATAGATTTAAAGAACACAAAAAATGAAGTGGTATAGAGTATCATTACAATGAAAGTACAGAAATTAAACAGAAAGAGATTAAAATAATTTATTCAGGAAAAAATATATCTATCAGATTACTAAAAGAATTAATTATAAACAAAAGGAAGGAAAAGTTAAAATCTGATCAATATTTGAAGTGAAAATAAACTGTTTTATTTGTAAATTTGGACTTGAGGAAATTAGAAGAAAATAAATAAAATTAAAAGAGTATTAGATAGCAATTAAACCACTTGTAACTGTATTTAGTTTTAATCAAATAGCTGTTATTTGCAAGTTTTAACTTGCAAATAATAGCTATTTGCAACTTGTATTTGCAATTTTGTAATGGACAAATCAATTAAGAAAATATTTGTGAATTAAGAATTTAAAAAGAAAACTTTTCATTTCACATTAACTTAGTTTATGTAAATATATTTTTTACTTTAAAAAGTTATTAAAAGAAGCAAAAGAAATAAATATTTTATTTCAAAAACACTCAATATTTTATTAAATATCTGAAATTTGAATATGAAATTACATTTTAAATATTAAATTTTCATAGTGCATATAAAGATGATTCATATTAATCTGTAAAAATATTTATATTTTAGTAAGAAATTTTCATTTCTCAACTAATGCATTTTTTTGTTTTTTTTTTAAATTGACAAAAGACAATTCATGCACACAAAAAAAATACTTATAAACTACATTAATCAAAAAATGAGGATATTATCTAATGAAATACTTCATGAAATGAAATAATGCAAAAATTATAATATGAAATTCTATTTGTTTCATTAAAATAAGCATAATGTAAAAATATACCGTTTTACGTACCAGTATGAAAGTTTAATTTTTTTTAAATTTTAACTATTAATAAAATGAACAATACCTGTCAGGATGTTTCTTAGTTTCCTCTTGGAGGGTTGTACTTTGTGTAATTGGGATGTCACCTTTGTGTTGAGGTGATAACGGACCCTTAGGAATATCTGAAAAAGTTTTTTAAACCATTACTTCAGAATATTAACTTTTGATGGATATATTAAATATAAAGTAATAACATATTAAGTCACTTTTACTGTTATATTTTATCATCATTAATATTTGAAATAGCATCTATAAATTTTTGATAATTATTTAACATAGACTTTAAAAAAGAAAAAAGTATCTGCTGATGTAAAACAATTTATTGTGAAGTGAATGGAAGGCAAAATAACTTCACTTTGAGCCACAGTTCAGTTTTAACATTTCTCCTCCCTACCCCATCTCCCATCACAAAGAGCAGGACTTGCATCCCCAAAACAAGATTTAGCCTTTGATTGATAAAAGAATCATCCATGCCTACATATGGTCCATGATCAAAACAATTGCTTTGAGCATGGTTCATATGTAGGCTTTTTGCTTGATACTTTTGGACCTCTGTTGGCTCCATGCCCTGGTCTGGCCAAACCATTTTGTGGAATTGTAGTTGTCAAATGAATGGAATACTAGGACAGTAATAAAAAAATGGATTAAACTAAACAGAAATTGCAGTTCAGTTTTAAAAAATGAAAGAATTATGATTATTAAATAAGAAAACAATGATAAAACTAAGTATAAACACTTAAATTACAATATATTCTGTCTACTTACAATATATATTGTATCTATGGTTTAAATCTTGTGAATTTTGACCAATTTGACAAACAGTGAAAGTTGCAATTGCCATTATCCAGGCTTCTACAGTCATACTAATTGCCCTTTTCATCTAACGTTAGATGAAAAGAGCAATTAGTTAGATGAAAACAGTTACTAGTTTTAGTGGTTGTCCATTGAAATGGATCCAAATCTTTATCAATATTGATAGCTATATAATAAACGTATTAAAGAGACTATACAATCTTTGCTTGCTGATTAATCTTTCCTAACAGTAGCATAGCCAATTAGGGACCAAAGCAGGGGCACAGCTTATGGTGTTTGAGGGGCATTTCCTCTAATGTCAAAATCACGCCACAAAAAAATACATATATACATATAGCACTATAATGGACGAGGGTTAGGGTGGAGATCCAACCTTCTTGACCTGACATTGGTGTGAATTTTCAATATCAGCCATAAGTATCAGTGGACAAAATTGGCTTCCACGCACAGTGACATAATCATGAAGGGGTCCAGAGTGTCCGTTTCCCCTTCGTAATAAAAAAAAATTTAATAAAAATGGTAAATAATTGAATCGTAGAGTTAACTACTGACTTACTAATTTATATATATAATTTTACGTAGGATCTGGTTACACTACTTCTAGCCATGCCTCCCATACCCCAATGATAAATGTCTAAATAGCCCTGAGTCCAGAGGGCTCGAGCCCTTTTCCTTTTCTAAATAAATTAATTAAGAGAAAATAAAATAAATACAGGCAAAAGACTTGAATGTAACAAACGCAATTATACTAAAGTGACCAGATGCTGAAATATAAAAAGCGAGACGTTAGGTCAGAAACTTCTGTGTGATGTCAAATGAGTCACGTAATTGAGCCAGTCGGCGCTTGGTTTTCTACTTTCTGACATCATCGATGACAGATGCTACGAACAACCAATGAAAATTTTATTTAACCATACATTATTATTTACAAAATAGACTTATAGCTATAGCGACAATGAGGAGTTGATCACGGCTCCGAATGTAACCTTGTTTGCTTTAACTGCTATTTTTCTAACTCAGATAATTAGCAAAAATCATTAACTCCCTTTTATAACTGTTCCGCATGACTTACACGTGATACTCGCACATGGTATAATTCATTATTTTCCGATCGACAGAGTTGCCAGATAGAGCGATAAATCGCATACTGGGCTACTGTTTCCATAAACTAAATATTAAAATTTGTACCGTATGCGATTCATCTTTGATTTATAATTTATGCAAGGAATGTTGGCTATTTTTCAATATAATTATGAAACAATTCAAAAGCGGAACCGTCACGCCTAATTCAGGAACTTATACTCATGTACACGGTAGATTTATGGTGTGTTCAGGCAGCAGCTGCACCCCCTCCGAGGATTTTACCAGAGTAAAGCCGGGTACTTCAGGTAGTAAAGCATTTTGTAAGACATATTGTTTCTTTTCTGCATCCCCTATAAAGATTTCTGGTCAGCTAGTGCTCAAGTGTACACAATATCCAAGCTCCACAGAGCTAGTGGCTGCATCCACAATGGTATAGGGATGGATGTATTATAGATTCACACTTACTAATTGGAGTCCAATCCAATATCAGTTCTAGTTACCCTACTTGTCTCTAGAACCTTTTAGGGTCCTGGATCCAGCAAAAACATAATTAGGATATAATTTCGTTTGGAAAACTTGTGAGAGGATTAAATTTAGATGAGACTCTAAACTTTCAGGAAATATTTTTTTATTAATTGCCGATTAATTAACAATATAAACAATGATCTAACTTAAAGAAAACTTCCTTTGTCTCCATTAAGAATGACTTTCTCATCTTTCGTTTTAAATCATCAAAAATATTTTACATAGCATCATAGATGCTTTACTTACTTTTCATCTTTGGTATTTCGAGAATCTTCATGTACAGAAGGAAAAAAATGGCATTTTGTTTCCAAACGTGACAGTGCCATGTTTCATAGAATTGGATCGTGTGCAAAATCAAATAAAAGAAGTGCATTGATTTAAAATAATCTGTTGTACAAAAAAGAGCATAGATCTTTGCGAGGAACTCGAAAAGTTTCGTACTATGTTTTCTTTAACGATGTATCGAAGCACGCGACCATATTTCAAAAAATTATTGATTGTAGAAAAATGATGATGATGGAATTTTGTTTTCGTCGTACGGAGTCAAACTATTGTTCATTTATTTAAGAGAAAATGGTAACGGATAGACACACACGACGCACGTATTTTGTGTAGATACGCTGTATCAAAATATTGCGGAAAAGTATTTCGACGTGATAAAATGACAAAGAAAGTAGAAAATATTGCGAATTTCCTAAGAGGAAATCATAAAAATACAATAAATAAGAATATTACAAAGTTAGGAAAACATATAAAAATATTTTTCTCTCGGGTTTATAAATAGATAAATTGGGGAAAAAATATTATTTATTTGTAGAATTATTGACAGACCAAATAAGAAAATTGTTTCCTTTTTCGATTAATTGATAAAGTTATAACTTTAATGTTTCATATTACACGTCACTACTAATGTTATAACTAAATAACCTAATAACTCAGGAGACTTCATTTGCATACTTAAAGCGCATTTTATGTAAATAAACAGTCTTACTGAAAAAAAAAAAAACGGCCGCTGTTTGGAGGTTATTTTGTACGCATTTTATAAAGAAAAGTTCCTTAAAATGTCCGCAATTTAAAGGTTCGACTGTACTAAGAAATTCTATCATGTAGCTAAATTTTCTTAATCTTCAACTAAGTATTAACTAACTATAGTTTGAATAAAACATACAAAAACTTAGTAAACCTTAATATAATTCCAAAAAATGTATAAAGAATTGAATTAATTAACACTAGAATACCCTTTAAAAATATAACGTGTAACCTCTATATTTCATTCTATAACCCCTCCTCATTGGTAACTTAATGTTTAGTAATTTGTAAAGTTTGACTTACCACTGGGAATAAAAAGTGCTCCCGAAGGTGTTCTAACAAGACAAGATGTCCGATATTCCTGTTCAGCATCTTTGCACTGTTTTCCATCACCTTTAGAAAGTGTACTTAATGGGTTATTCGGAGTGCTGCTCGTCAAACTACCCCGTCCACCGGTTCGACCCATGGCAGGTGGAACTGATGAAAGATTCGATACGGAACTAGCTAGAAGACCTGAAAAATATAAAAAAAAAAAGAACTTCAAATGAAAATCAATAGTTACTTTGACGATTTTCGATCGTTTTCCGAGTACTCGCTGACTGAAAAAATGGTTTTCTCTCTCTCAATTCCAAACATAAAATTTAGATGGCTCTATTTGTATGAAGCATATTTATTCGTCGAAAATTATACATTTAATTACATAACATACTTTAAAGTTGACTTTTTAGTATTCTTTATTATATTCTACTATCGGAGAATATTTTCAAGTTTAGTTAGAATAGAAAATTGAACATTTATTTACCTTCAGAACTTTTAAACTTCCTGAATAAGAAGTAAATGAGATATAAATACATCTAACAAGGATGCATTTCTTTTCTTCATATTTGCATCCTACATCTTTTGAGACATTCTTCTGTTTCAGACCTTTATACATTTACTTTGACACATTAATTCTATTTAATACATTCCTCTGCTATAGCTTACAGTATATAAATACAGTATAACAAGCTTTACAATCTAATTTATTCCTGATAATCCGTCGTAAAGCGAGGAGCTACGAACCAACAAATTTTCTAAAATATCGATTTTATGTTGCCAAATTATATTTTTCATTTTATAATATCATATAGAAATGCGAAACNAAGTATATAAAATTTTTTAAATATTTTACTTTATTAACTTGTATAATTTATAAATTTTAAATATCCGCAAATTTTGAAATAAATTTTTAAGAAATACAGTAAAGTTAAACTGTATTATATTCAACTAATAGATCGCGACTCACTTGTTGAGAACTTCATAAATACATCAGACATCTACAATAGCGGTTAATAAAATGTTACAATTATAAATTTAACGTATCTTACGATATTATTTTTTTTTTTAGCCATTTAAACGTATATAACAGAAAATTATAACGAAAATATTGTTATTTTGCTAATGTAAAATATTAAAATATATATATTATTCGATAAATTAAAGTAAATTCTAACGACGCGGAGATTAAGAAAACATTTCTATCACACGTCTTTAAAGTAGAAAAATCATCATTTGACCCCGGAACATCATTAATTATCAGAAAATTAGACATTAGAAGGATCATTCCCAAATGGTTTATTAAAAGCAAGCATTTAATCATAAATGATTTAAGAGACTTAATTCCTGGAAATATATTTTTCCTGTTAAAAGTTTAGGAAAAGTTTTTAAAAAAGCCAAAAATTAATAAATATGGCTTTTAATCTATAATTGAAAAGAGTTAATTCGCTAGGTAATTAGAAAACAAGTAAATCTCTAGGGTAAACGAGTGCTATAAGACAGTTACTAATCGCATCAAAACATCAACAGAAGAGACAAAGATGGAACCACAAAATCACTTTTTAATAAACAATATTATGAACTCTAACGGAAGGTTAATCACGATCGTATTTTATATTCTGTAACGTTTCCCATCTGTATTAATTAAGTAGTTTGTATCTGTATGTTTAAGATAGTGACTCGTTTAGGGAGCGCTTAATTGAATTTCCTATTTTGATGCCATACCCAGTTGCCAAATAATAACTTCCCATATTGGAACCGGATGTCGTCTAAACACAGTTACTAATAAGGATGATGGAATTTCTCTCTTTTTTTTTAAATTATCATTATTAACGCTTCCCAAATATCATGGGATGCTGGCGCTGTTGATGTTGCTCTTGCTGCTCCTCTGCTGATGCTGCTACTGCTGCTATCTAATATTTTGTAAAAATTTTACTTGTTTGTGTAATTAAGTTCGAAAGTTTTCTATAATAATCTAAAAGCATTAAACGTGTTCGAAATATTCATTAATTATAAATTATTTTTACGAGTAAATTAATAGCATTAATCTATTATTTATTTTTGTTTCGATTAACAATTTATATTCATTTAACGTATAGCTTTAATGCATTTTTTAGTGCTGTTTTGAGAATAAATATTAAACATTTTGCTTAAAAATATGATTTTTTATGCAGTTAAATATATAAAATTGATCATTTATACTTTAAAACGAATATTGATAATTATCATTATCCAAAAATTAAGAACCTAACTCACGTTCTTGAGAAAAATGTAGATTCTACTCCTATTGAAAGTTGGAAGGAACTGAATCCACACCTTTTTTGAATATCACGGATTCAGTTCCTTCCATTCTAAAGGATCCATCGAAGAAACTTATACATTAAAACTTATGTTTATATGATGTTTATTCTATTAAAAACAATTAATAAAAACACGATTAAAGTTTATTATTAAAGAAAAATAAACATATATATATTGAAAATTTCAAATATATATATCTTAAGTTACAAAGAATAAAAGCCATATCGATTTTATTTCTGTTGGTAAAAGGCCATTAAGCTGTAGCCACATTGTAACAGGTTCTCCATTCTTCTTAAGTGAAATGAGGCATCACTCGATCTGGAATTGCTTTGCTTATAAGTTTTCTTCCAGCAAATAAAAATGTCAGAAAGAGAAATTATAGTTTTGAAGACATAAATTTCGTATAATTAATTTTCTTTTCATGTATTTTATACGTGAAATTAACCACAGAATTAAAGTATGCAACACTCGATTTTACTATAACAGTTTCGTTAATTAAAACTTACTCGGGATACAAAGTGCTTTTAAAATTAAAAAATTGAACTTTAAATAGTATGTTATAAATTAATTTTTTTTACATTTATAACATATACAATTAGCTATAAAGATTTTAATTAAGATAAAGCTACAGGTCTTCTTGGCACCAAACAATTTATCGTCGAGACAATACGAATTTACTTGAAAAAATTACCATTTACTTGATGGAAAGATGAGTTCTATCAGTCA